TCATTTCTATAATGCTTGCGTATTTGGTTTCAATGATGGACAACCCCATGAGGCCAGCTGAGAGTGTCACTCCAGCTTTACAGATGATGGAACAAAAGTTAAAGTGGCAAACTGGGTATGGTGGCCCACGCCTATCATCCCAGCACTTTGGGAGGCTGAGACGGGAGAATCACTTGAACCCAGGAATTCAAGACCAGCCTGGGCTACATAATGAGACTTCAGCTTTATGAAAAACAAAAAATTCAAAAATTAAGCAGGCACGGTGGCGCATGCCTGTAGTCCCAGCTACTCTGGAGGCTGAGGTGGAAGGATTGCTTGAGCCCAGGAAACTGAGGCTGTGGTTAGCCATGATTGCCCTACTGCACTCCAGCCTGGGCAACAGAGAAGACCCCACCTCAAACAAACAAACAAACAAACAAACAAACAAACAGAAGCTGAGTTATTAAGTAGTTGTCTCAGAAAGCCTTGGATTATAACAGAGCTGGGACCACAACTTCTAAGTTTATTGATTTCTTCACCCTTTATTCTAGGACAGCCTTTAAGACATTAGTGAACATTCATTCTCCCTCCCTTCTCCCGTTTTAAAACTATCTTTACTTGAGAATGTGACAGGGACATTTATCATATGAAGCCTTTTCTAACCTACCATAATAGTGTCATCGTCAGTCACAAGCTTAGTTGGGTGCCAGTTTGGGTTACTCATATAACAGTTCTTTTTTGGTTACCTGTGATGGTACCCATGATAGATGCTTTCTGAAAAAACATTTTTAAAAAAACTAGCCCTCATTTTTCTCAAGCAATGTATATACTCTCTCCTCTCCTAAACATTTTAAGTTGTAGATTTATCGATACTATGAAACTAAGTTTTTAAAATAAAATTTTCCCAGCTATCAAAGGAATGTGTCCCCAACATATTCTTTCTTACCTTCCCTGCCTGGTCATTTTGAAGTAGACATTTCAGCAGTGTAGACTGACTGGCTTAGTTAATATTTCTGGAACCAGGCTCAGGAAGGAGAAACCTTTCCTGTGACATTAGAATTAAAAATAAAAGCCAATCATTTAAGATTTTCCAATGGTGGCAGTATTGGGGTACACATTTTGCCACAGTCTTTGACTGAATCCAAAAACCAAGGAACATATTGCCAAGTAAGAAAATGTTTCAGAACCTAAGAATCTAATTTGATTTTCTGTTCAGTCTTCTGTTGAGAAAGATAATCTGGTGCCTTCATAAAGACTTCAACCACTTTGTGATTCATAGGTCAGAGTTCATGGAACCAGACTGCTCCATTTAGACTTATGATCCTCTTACAAGTGACTTTAAAGAGTGACTTGAACAGTACTGGCCACAAAGCTATGATTTCATTGCGAAGGATCAGCCAGATCTCATTCCTCTTGCCCGCCATGGACATGAACCTTTAATATGGGAACTGAGGCAAATATGGGAATAGACTGCCGCTGTCATGTTCCCTGCAGGGTCCCCTGGTAGAGACACACCCAGGGGATCCCAGGGGCTGATCTGGGTGGAAGAGAAGCATTTTCTTTTTCCTGCAGCACCTGACTTCTCCGCTGAGGCAGGCCAGAGCCTTTGTGTTTATCCAGGCTCTTACAAAGCTAGATCACATCACCCTCGAAGTGGCCTTTTTTCTGAGCAGCCTCACAGTTCACGCCTTTGTTGTCCTGCCACACAGTGGGGAGAGGGTGACAAGAAGTCAGCTCATTACAGACCTTTCTGGAGCACTTCTGAGCTGGCTATTACCATCTGTCCTCTCCTGTCCCCTTGCTTTTTGGGCTGCTGTCAGTGAGACACTTGGCTTTCTGATTGGTATGGTGTGGACACTGGGTAGATGCCAAGGAAGATGTGGAGGTGAGCAGTATCTCAGGGAAATACTTTGTAGAAGAGAGAACAAATCTGCTCCTTCTGTAAGGTGTATAAGATAAAAACATATGAATCATTGGGATGATGATTATTATTGTTATTGTGAGTTGGAGTCTCACTGACACCAGGCTGAAGTGCAGTGGCATAATTATGGCTCACTGCAGCCTCCAACTCTTGGGCTCAAGTGATCCTCCTGCACCAGCCTCTCAAGTAGCTGGGACTACAGGTGCATGCCACCATGCCTGGCTAATTTATTTTACTTTTTTATAGAGAGGAGGTCTCGCTGTGTTGCCCAGGCTGGTGTTGAACTCCTAGGCTCAAACGATTCTCCCACCTTGGCCTTCTAAAGGGCTGAATTATAGGCAAGAGCTACTGCGCCCGGTTGGGATGATTTTATTTTAGTTCTTAGTGACGTATTTTCTTAATTTTTGTAACCACTGATGTCTTTCACTTAAGACCCGGATCATTTTGGAAGAGGCCTGGACTTGATGCCCTAAGTCATTTGTTTCTAATGTATTTTTCCTCTCTCTCTCTCTCTGGTGAATATAGTTTTCTGTTGTTGAAAGCCTTTTGTCCTGCTTTGAGCAGTGAGTCTGTGCTGTTATCAACAGGGCCAGGTTTAGGTCCAGAAAGCTTTCGGGGTGAGAGGCAGTTGCTGTTCAGGACACCTGCTGCCCTGGCACAGTGCGGCCATTGTTTCTTCCGTCAAACATGTTCTGGGCAGAGCTGGGTCTGTTTTGGCCTAGGGTTGAGTCTTCACTTTTTTTTCTCTCCATCTTGTTCATCTGGTTTTGCTGATAGGTGTTTAAGACCTGCATGTGATTTGTAGAACTTATTTTCAAGAATGCATGCTGAAATGTCACAGTGGCAGAAGGAGCATCGGGCCAGAGTGGGGGCAGATGATCTGGACTTTCATCCCTGGCTCGCTGGCTGTGTAGCTGAGGGAAGGACATTTGGCCTCTCTGGACATGGGCTTCTTGGAGCGATGAGTGGCCAGGTCCTGAATCCACTATTGTGTTTTGGGTTTGGGGGAATGCTAAGAGCATCAGAGATGGAGTGTGGCCAGGGTCGCTAAGGGCCCTGCTCCTGTGAAGCCATTAAGTAACGGTAGGAGGCTCTCCTTTAATTAGGTGATAGTGGTATGGCTTGGCCAATGACAGAGATGTTTGCATGCCATAGTTGAGTGAGAGACGTAACTGTGATCTCTCTGTGGCAAGTTTGCAGAATAAAAAAATAAGCATTTGATTATTTCTAGGAGACTGCTTTTGTTCATCCCCAGAAGTGTTACTGGACACGGAGGCTTTGAACTTCTAAATTAAGAACTACTGTGTTCAGACAAACATTTTGTAATTTATTAGCTCTTATTGTTCAGATAAGAGGCAATCCACAGATCAGGCTAATACAGCATACATGTCCCATTTCTGATTTGTGTTCCCATAGTCTTAAAAAAAACTTTATTTAAAAAATAATTCTAATTCTCCTAGCAATACATATTAATTGTAGAAAACTTGGAAAATACCTAAAAGGAAATATGAATATCTTCTAATCCCAGAGCCCAGAAATGCTGTTGTTCACACTTGGGCAATTTTCTATTCCATACAGGACCAGGATCATAGCACACATGTTGAACTTAAGCTCAGACTTTTTTCCTGCTGTCTTCCTGTTGAGGTGATTTTTCAGACCGAGGTTTCAGATGAAGGTAGATATGAAAGTCATATTATGCTTGGCACATGTGTGGCAGGGACTGTTTTGTCTTACAGAAATAAAATTGTGCATCCAGGATCAAAAAATGACATCTGTCCTGTCCCCATCTGAATAGGTTTTCAACATTGGGCACGTAGAGGTGTTGTCATAATGATGGCTGTCGTTAACCAGCGGAGACTTCTTAATCTATTAACTCTCAGTGCTTACTAATTGCTTTTGTAAGATTCCCTGGCTGAGTTTTCTGTTGCTGGCGACACCACTCGTGAGCATAGGTTACTCAGACTCTGCTTTTCTTTTCTTTTTTTTTTTTTTTTTGAGTTGGAGTCTCACTCGGTCGCCCAGACTGGAGTGCAGTGGCCGCTCCCGGCCACCGCAGCCTCGACCTGCTGGGCTCCGGCGATCCTTCCGCCTCAGCCTTCCGAGTAGCCGAACTACAGGCGCACGCTACCACGCCCGGCTGACTTTTTGATTTATTGTAGAGATGAGGTCTCGCTGCCCAGGCGGGTCTCGAACCCGCGGGCTCAGGCAATCCACTCACCTCAGCCTCCCAAAGGTGCAGGATTACAGGCTGAGCCACCAAACCCGGCTAGACTGCTTTTCTAGACGCCCTGATTCTTCCAGTGGAAGCAAGGCAGCCTCTGTGGGATAGACCCCCTGTTTGGCAGTAGGCTAGGTAAGGGATTTATTTTGCCCAGATATATTACACATTTGGCAACATTGATGATTTGCTTATTGAATATTGGTTTCTATATAATTTTCTCAATTAGGAAATGAAAGATTATTTACTTCCACCTTTGCACTGTTTCGCCTATACAATTTTCTCTTACACCCTTCACACTGCATCATGAATTCATCCTAAATCCTCAACCATTTGAGAATTTTGAAAGGATCCCTACTTCTGTGTTTTTTGGTGGTGTCCTTTGAAGTCCTGAAATGTTTTCTATTTGACTGAGATCAAATCTGGGTTTCACTTTACTTTTTTAAACATATTGAGCAAGTTAATTTTCTGTCTGAGTTCCTAAGGGGAATGATTCCAGGCCTCTGTGTCCCAAGAATTCAGACTGAGCCTGGCCAGAACATTCCTGTGGTTTTCCACGGGGCAGATCAGCTTGTTCATGAAATTTTCGTTGTAGTTTGTGCTTTCTGTGGTTAATTAAAACATCTGGCTTTTAAATTTTCTACAAACAGAGCATAATCATTAGGTCAGACCTTCTCAATAATGATTAAATGCTTCAATTCTCCCCCCAGAACAACCCCAACTTGTCTTTAGGGTATGTATATACTGCTGCCACTGCTCACTGGTGATTTTAAACATTTGGAAGATGTTGGAGGTTACCCTCCCAAATATGTCCCTTGGAGGGGGGGAGCAAGGGAGGTTAGGGATGCTGATCCTTCTAATGGCCTCTGGCCTTCTCCCCTCCAGGTTGGCGTCACTGTGGGTGAGCCGTTGCCGTCTGTAGCCAAGCATGCTGTGGTCAGATGTGCTCAGCCGTGGATCAGAAACATTTGCTGGATGGAAAATCCAGAAAAGAAAGCTGCTGTGAAAAGCCAAGACCAACGATCACTGAAGCACAATCAGGTTGGTGCAAGATCAGAGAGGCTGGGTCGAGGGGATTGGGCCAATCAGGGAGAGGTGTATTTTATGGACAACCCCAAATGCTTATTCCTAGTTATCCGCAAGAGTCCCAGCATTGTGTGCACGGCAGAGGTACCCTGACAGTCCTGTGTGTAGAGTAGACTGCTGTCTTTCTGTCCCTCTGCCCTGTCCCCTCCTGCCCTCATCTTCCTTCCTTTCCTCTTTCTGAAAAGAGAGGAGGACCTTCCGCACAAAAACCAGAAGCCATAATCGGAGGTCGTCCCTGTTGGCCTCCTTGATGTTGGCTTTGTTTTGGAGAAAAGCCGTGTCTAACCTTATGGAGTTGTACTGGAACTCTCCGAGACCTGCACTCATTTGTGTTTTCACACTATGGAGGGCGGGCCTTGAGACCTGCCTCTTCTTTTGGGGTCACCCTGTCTGTGAGCCCTTGGTTTCCCTGGCAAGATTATACATACCTTCATCTTCTCCCAACCAAAGCTACCCACACATTCATTTCTGGCAGTGTGTTCACTGGGCACTGAGTTACTCATATAGGACAGGGTCCGGAACAAAACAAGTGTCTAAACCGATGCAGAATAGCCTCACTGTGGACCAAGAGGACGAAGCAGCCTAGGTATCCCGACATGTGGCAGGAAAATGGAAAGGGATTCGTTTTGAGAACATATACAGACACTGCAAACAATTTCTGTTGGATATTCAATGGGTACCCCAAATTTTTGTACATAAACAGTTGATAAATACTCACTGGGAAGATGTATGTTACCAGTCTTAGAGAATCCATGAAGTAGTGAATGTCTGTTGATTTGCCCACCCGGCATCCTTTAAGAAGTTACCCAGGCTGGGCGTGGTGGCTTGTACCTATAATCCCAGCACTTTTGGAGGCTGAGATGGGAGGGCTGCTTGAGTCCGGGAGTTCAAGACCAGCCTAGGCAACATAGTGAGATCTCATTTCTATAAAAAATAAAATAATTACCTGAGTGTGGTGGTATGTGCTGCTTGGGAGGCTGAGGCAGAATGATCGCTTGAGTCCAGGATGTCGAGGCTGCAGTGGCTGTGAGTATGCTACTGCACTCCAGCCCGGGCAACAGAATGAAACCCCAACTCATAAAAAAAAAAATATAAAAACAATCACCCAGACTTCCTCTGGGCAGTGGCCCTAGCCTCACTTTCACCTGTGTAGTTAGAGGAGGTGACCCTACTGACTCAGTTTCAGGCATGCGACAGAAGCCTAGCCAGTCGGGATCCCCAGGCTCAGGTCATGGAGGGGCCCTGGTGCTGTCTTTGCACTTAATGAAAAGAGGTTTTTCTTTTTGTGAGCTTGTGGCTGGAGCTGCTCATGGCCATTCCTGATGCCTGCTAGGGATAACCTGAAGAGAGTGACGTCAACACAGAGGAGTCAAAGCAGGGAGACGGAGGGAAGGAGTTGGGAGGGATGGACGCACACACAAACTTACACACACAAATACACATACACAAATGTACACATACATATGCACACACACAAAATACACACAGACACACAAGTGTACACACATACACACAAATACAGACACACACAAATATACACATACATGCACACACACAAATACACATGCAGATACACAGATGTACACACATGCACACACAAATATACACACAGGTATACACGTACACACACAAATACAAACAGACACACAAATGTACGCACACATACAAATAGACACAAATATATACACACGCACATACATACCTATACACAAATGTACACACACACAAATGCCCACAGACACACATATATACACACACATGCACACACACTGTCACACAGATATACACACAGATACATACACAAAGAGACATGCATCTGGCTCTCACTCGGCAGTGCCTGAACGGGCCCCTCCTATTTCACTTCCCTGACTGATTGGCTAGTTCTCTGAGTTAGTGTCTGTCAGTTACATCCAAAGCATCCTAACTGCAATGCCTTTGAGGTGTGAGGTCTTGGTGTAGAATGACTGTGGTGTCAACCCTGTCCTGCGGTCACGTGGTGTAGGGTAGGCCAGGTGGGGATCCAAGTAGCTGATATGCAGTGTGAAAATATCATTAGAGGCGAGAACAGAGTTCAGTGGGCGCAGAGATGGAATTGTAAATTCCACTGGGTGATGGAGAGACTAGCAGAGAGGGCTAATTTTTTCCAAGTCAGGATCTCACTCTGTTGCCCAGGCTGGAGTGCAGTGGCACCATCACGGCTTACTGCAACTTTGGCCTCTTGGGCTCAGGTGATCCTCCAGCCTCAACCTCCTGAGTAGCTAGAACTACAGGTCATGCCACCACGCCTGGCTAATTTTTTTGAGTTTTTTTGTCGAGATAAGATCTCACTGTGTTGTGTTGCCCAAGCTAGTCTTGAACTCCTGGGCTCAAGCAGTCCTCCTGTTATAGCCTCCGGTGTATTAGGATTATAGGTGTGACCCACCATGCCTGGCCAGAGAGGGCTATTATTAACCCAAGAGAAATAGGATTTAGTCTTTAGGACCATTTTTTAAAAGTACATTTAATTCGATTACTTTGCTTTTTGAGTCTAAAGGAAGGGAAGTCTTTTCAGAGTCTGTCTTAAAGTAAATTGAGGTAGGGAAGATAATTTCAGAGTTTTGCTAGTCGTAGAATCTTGTTATTTACTGTAAATGCAATTGTTTAGGGAACAGCCAAATGAGAAGTTATCAGAAAGCTGCCTGGAGTTTATCTTAACACCACAGGGTGACAGCTGCTATTCTCACAAAAGCCTCAGCTGGCTTTCTGTTCTAAGAAGAATTCAATGAATTTCCATGAATTTTTAAGGATTTATTTCCTCTTTTTATTGTTATTTTTATTTTTGGGTTGGAGTCTCACTCTTGCCCAGACTGGAGTGCAGTGGCCGCTCCGGCCACCACAGCCTCGACCTGCTGGGCTCCGGTGATCCTTCCGCCTCAGCCTTCCACGTAACTGGAACTACAGGTGCGCGCTACCATGCCCGGTTAATTTTTTGGTTTATTGTAGAGATGAGGGCTCACCTGCCCAGGTGGATCTGGAACCCGCGGGCTCAGGCAATCCACTCACCTCAGCCTCCCAAAGGCGCGGGATGACAGGTTGAGCCACCGAGCCCGGCTTGACCTCACTTTCTTAATGGTGCCTTCCCCTGCAACAGTGAACTAATGTAAATTTTAATTAATGATAAATTGCACTAATATGGAAAAGTGTGCATATATGTGTAAGTGTACACTTTTTTTCTTAATGATGTCCTTTGAAGCTTAAAAGTTTCTAATTATAACAAAGTTCAATTTATCAGTTATTTTTTCCTTTCAAAGCTCATGATTTTGATGTTTCTAAAAACTCTTTGGCTAATCAAAGCTCATGAAGATTTTCTCCTCTGTTTCTTTCTAGAACTTTTGCTGCTTTGTCCCTTACATTTTGGTCTTAATCCATTTTGGTTAATTTTTATGTATGGTGTGAGGTTTGGATCAACATTCACTTTATTTCATTTTTTGCATTTGGATCCTGGCACCATTTGCTGAAAAAAGACGAATCTTTTGTTTGTTTGTTTGTTTGTTTTGCTTTTTTGAGTTGGAGTCTCACTCCATTGCCCAGGCTGGTGTGCAGTGGCATGCTCACGACCACCCCAGTGTCAACCTGCTGGGCTCCAGCGATCCTTCCACTTCAGCCTTCCAAATAGCTGGAACTACAGGTGTGTGCTACCATGCCCAGCTAATTTTGTGATTTAATGTAGAGATGAGATCTCACCAAGTTGCCCAGGCTGTTCTTGAACCCATGGGCTCAGGCAATCCCCTCACCTCGGCCCCCAAAGTGCTGGGATTATAGGCTTGAGCCACCACACCTGGCCTGAAAAGAATAATCTCTACTCATTGACTTTTCTTGGTACCTTTGTGGAAAATCAAGTGACTATGGATGTAAGGGCTTATTTCTGGACTCTTAGTTCTGTTCCTTGGACTTACATGCCTAGCCTTATACTAGTCCCACACTGTAATAAGGTCTGGGCAATGCATTGTTTCTATGAAAAGAAATGGGCTTCGGCTGCAGTATGTCTCCATGAAAAGCAAGACTCCTCTCCCTTCTTTATGAGTCACTCTATTGAAAGTGCTGGCCTTGAGTGGTTTCTCTTTGGGGTAATTATGGAAACCTGAAATGGAGGATGACAATGTAGAATCGGTCTAGATGCATCTTCCAGATTATTATCTGTATCACTTTAAATTCAAGCGATGTTTTGTTTTCCTTAAAGATGGTGAGCATTTTTATGTCCACTCCCATTCGAGTAAGACGGATTAAACATTTCATTACTTCTGTCTTAATCATTGCCAGTAACTACTGAATGAAGAATTTACAAATCTGGTATATGTTTTCAAAAAATTTCATTAGTGGTGCTATGGATTGAGTCTCATACAGAAAAATATAAATTTCAAAAAATTACTATTTTATCAAGCAGAAAACCTGTGAATTAAAATGCCTTGCTCGAGTTTGATACATAGTGTGCTTCTGTATGTTTGATGAAAATTGGGCATTTTTCATAGTACAACTAAAATGCTAGCTGTGTTTTTGTCCTTATTATTCTATTTTTGTCTTTGTGTTAGTATGGTTTTCAGTAGACTACTGTGAAGACATTAGAATAATTATATTAGAAAAATGAAGGTTGCAGATTTATGTATCTCCTTTAGTTACAACTGCGTAAAAATTATGAACGCATAAAAATTGAGAAGGAGGCCAGGCTTGGCTCAGCCTGTAATCCCAGCGCTATGGGAGGCCAAGGTGAGTGGATTACCTGAGCCCATGGGTTCAAGACCAGCCCGGGCAACTTGACAAGACCTCGTCTCTACAATAAATAAAAAAATTAGCTGGGCGTGGTAGTGTGCATCTATAGTTCTGGCTACTTGGAAGACTGTAGTGGAAGGATCACTGGTGCCCAGTGGGTTAACACTGCATTGGCTGTGAGTGTGCCACTGCTCTCCAGCCTGGGTGACAGAG